CAGTAAATTTTTTAATACAAGTCAACAAACGCGATGACATGGCCTTTGACATGTGACCTTTCGCGATAGGGTTAACAAATGATGCAATACCAGTAAACATTAGGAAAGACACCCAATCATACAGATACACCACTTCACACCAGAATATCTAGTTAAGGACATCAGCACACCAAGACAGATTATTGTAGTAACTTTCTTATTCTATCTACACAAACACACTCAGATGTGAAGTATGGCAAAAGTTTTACTTACCATCTGCTCTTCATCTGCAGGAACTGAGAAAGAAAACAACATTTATAGGTAAATTTTATGTAACAGAACTTGAAATAAATATCACAGAACTTTTATAAAATTTTCTAATTTTAAAGTCTTCCTCAACATGATTCATGCTGGAAATTTCTTATGATCTAAGTACTCTGAAATGTAGATATAATAACGAACTATATCCACAAAAATCAGATACATAATGAATGAATTAGCAACTGAACAATTGTTTTTAACTTCCTAATTCATTCCAATTTGCACAGGATAAAAACAACACATTAACAACAACATAGCAATCAGTGTTCAGCTTAAACAACCACAAATGAGATACAAACCTATAGGTGGGTTGAAGAAGTTAAAGAAAGAATCATTCTGTACTGTCTTAGTGACTGTTCTGACAGAACCCCGTGACTTGTGTTTCTGTTTTTTCTTTATAGCCTTCATTGTCACGTTCTTTCCCTTTTTCCAATCAATCGTACACCTGAGATAACAAAAATAAAGATAAAAATCTTCAATCTAAACAATGCGTACAAGTGTTAATATCTTATATGTTAATGGTTTGCTTACTATAATGATGGTGTTTTATGCCAACTGGAAGAGATGTCACACCGAATTACAAAATCAAACTCAGTGTGAAATGAACAACCAATGAAATCATCCCTTACACTGGCACTGATACAGTTTATAACTAATCAGTCACAGCTTAAGACTACTTTTTTGTGAAAATACTCATAATATTGATAAACAAATGATTGTTAGTAGATATAACCTCTATTTTTTTCAGTTGATCTGCACTGATCTCAGAAATAACCCAAAATCAGTGGAAAATCACAAACAAATCTCATGTCTGCAGAATCTTAACTAGCCTACAATATCACATTTTGTTTTGAAGGTGGATAGTATCATTACCATTACACTACTTCACAATCTAGTAAAGACAGATGATACATTGTTTGTTCAGTTTTGCTCAAAACTACTCGAGGGCTACCTGCACAAGCCATCCCTAGTTCTGAAATAATAAGAAAGAAGGTACTCAACATCACCAACCACCAATTTATGGGCTAGTCTTTACCAATGAATAGTGAGATTGACCATCACGTCATAATGTCCCTATGGCTGTATGTTAAGAGTCCTAACCACCAGGCCCCAAGATAGATGTAATATTAATAAAAACATGACAGTCATATAAGAAAAATACAATAAGAACCACATCCAAAAATAAGCTCATATGTACCTTGACAACTATGATTCCCAAAAATACTCACAATAGTATGTAACTACTGCAGTTTTATACCCTGACTCTCAAAACTGTTTTTCCAAATCACATGGTGTTTTTGAGGAGAAATTGAGCCCTAAAGTTGAAGACATTCATCATTAAGTGTATACTGGAATATTCCCACCTTACTTGGATTTGAACATAATTTGCACAACAAAACACGAACACTTCCAGTGTTGGGCCACATTGGATTATTTGCAAGGAGGGTGGGGAGTGGGGATTTTCCTATATATGCTTAATGGTGAAAGTTCCCTACCTTAGGCCATGATTTTTTTGCATAAAACATCACAAATGGGAAAAATGGTTTTCCCAAGTTAGAATGAGCAAATAAAAGAATTCACCAGTAAGTATTATTCTGGGCATTTTTAGATGTGACAGTTGCCAAGATACTAGTGTTAGTATAAACTATCCACTCAATGAAAGGTATCTACCATTTTTATTTTATAAATAGATTTTATTATAACAAATACATACCAATCCCAGCCTTCCTATACACTTTGACACTGTAATATACACAAATTTATTCTCACCCTTTGCATTTAATAATTTCAGGTCCTTCAAATGAGAATGGGTCATCATCTTCTGGCATACATCTCATCTCATATTCTTTTGTTAGAACTGAATTGTTAAAATATTCATTCGGCTTAAAATGGAACTCTAAGGTAAAACCCTAAGAAGAAGATAATAGCATGAGCACAATTTTTGGTAACCGATAACCATGAATAAAGTACAAACATGCTTTTAAAATCATTAAAAACCATTGTTTAAGTCAACTAACTGCTTTAAAAAAATCAATCACACTTTACTTTTCTAAACTAAATCTTACTTTTAAATTTAATGTTTTAATAATTTAAATTTTTTTTATTTATTTAGTAGTTAACCCTTTAGACACTGGTGGATCAAAGTATGCACATTCCGACTTTTTCTAAAATTAAAGTCAAGATGTTATTAAACAGCTTTATTACCAATGTATGTCAATAAACTTGGCATCAAAACAGTTTATAATTCAAATTTTAATTTCAAAAGAAAATATTTAAACAAGTTTTCAATATTCACTTATGCATCCCTTTTACTTCGAATCTCCCTCTTTTTTTGAAATTCTTCCTACCACTGTACTACATATTTTATATATCTTTGAACTAAAATGAAAACTTATAGCATCTATTGTTCTTTAATGATTTATATAGCATAAACTAAACTTGCATGCCACACCCCTCCTAGCACATGTGAATAATTCTCCGACATTTGCTATTGAATTATTTAATCGTTATGAAGTTAGCTTATTCTCACAATCAAGTTTGAGTTACTCTACGTTAATTTCACAGTTTGCTATCTCCCAGATCACCTCGACCAGGTAATGAAAATATTTTAATGCATATGTAACTTAGTTAGAAAGGCAGTTAAATTATAATAGTTTTAGGACATTGTCTCTTTGTTGCATGTTAACATTGTTCTGAATTGCATATTTAAAATAAATAAAAATTAAATACTAGCAACACCTCTACCAAAAATAGGGTTAACTTTCACTGAGACTGAAAGTAAAAAAAGTACAAGACCCACATAAGTAAGTACTAAATTTCTTGTTGTTTGCATGTTTTTTATTATCATTAAAAAACTAAAATGTAAAAATTAGAAACTTATGTTAGATAAAACAAATTAAGGCAAAAAAATAAGTAAACAAATTATAGCATGCGCATGTCTTGTGAGTATATTAACTTGACAGAACATGCCAGTAACTATATGTATACAAAGCTTCTTTGCTGTAATTATTGACTTTGATACTAATCTAAGAGGCAATAAAGCACTAATCTAAATGGCTGAAACATTTGAACTGTATTAGCTTTGTCTGTAAGAATAAATAGTGTGTAATTACTTGTAACATTAAAGAAAGAACAAAGGGCCAAATTGACCAATTCAGTAAATAGTTAGTGTTAGGATAGAGAAAATAACATATAAAATATAAATATTACTGATAAACACTTTTGGTACTCATTTATGAGGGTCAAGAGGTCATGCAAATGAAAGTTGAAAACTGTAAAATGAAGGAAATATTTTAAATCTTATCCTGAAAATAACTTTGCAATCAGACTAACTCCATAAATGTAGACAAATTTTCATTAAAAATTAAAAAAAAAAGACTCAATTTTTTAGTGTGTGTACAAAAGACTATTTTCCAAGAGCTAACCAAGTTTTCTGAAGATACAGTTACTACACTAAAAGTTATAAAATATAGAAGTTTCTTAAGTTACATGGTATTATTGTAAGGTTGGTCACGATGACCAAGCCCATGCAGAGAGGGTTAAAAAATAATATTTTTTATAAAATGAAATTCCTGCAAGGTATTTCATTCATTAAAACTCAAGAATTAGAAAACAAACATAAGGTTGTCACTTATCGGTTGATTTCGTTACGTCATCTTAACAACACTTACCATTGGATTTGACTGTGAAAGTTTCACCTTAACATCCATTAGATTTTTAAGGATAGGCTCATCGTGCTCCTAGAAGTAAAGTAACAAGTTCTCATCAGTATTCTTAACACACTACCCAGTTAAGAACTGATGTTAGGGCACACATTAATTTTACACATGTTAATCACAATGATTTGACTATTTCAAAAACAAAACTCATAACGATAAAGCAACAACAGTAGGTAAGTGTTATGACTTTGAAAGGACATGGTGGAATAATACAATGTTACACGAAACACCAGTCTACAGAACAATACAGACTGACAAATCAGATATTATTAATAGCACAATAAACCAGTCTTAAGCTATGTGAATGACATCAATTTACTGACCTGAATCATTTCTGCTATTATTTCAACATTTTTGAAGGTTGTTAGCCAAAAGTCAGGTATACCTTTAACATCATCTGAAAAAAAAAAACACTTTCAAAAATCTATCATGTAAATCCCATATTTATTGAAAACATGAAACTTTAAAACGTTTACTATTGGTTAGTTTCAAAATCATTCCATAATATTACTAAGAAATAGAATTATACAAAAGTCAGAACATTTAACTTCAGTCTAAAAAGATTGAACTTAGGATCCTGTCTAAAGTCCTTTAAGCTTTGTATCGTAGGATTCTGTCTAAAGTCCTTTAAACTTTGTATCGTAGGATCCTGTCTAAAGTCCTTTAAACTTTGTATCTTTGGATCCTGTCTAAAGTCCTTTAAACTTTGTATCTTTGGATCCTGTCTAAATTCTTTAAACTTTGTATCGTAGGATCCTGTCTAAATTCTTTAAACTTTGTATCGTAGGATCCTGTCTAAAGTCCTTTAAACTTTGTATCGTAGGATCCTGTCTAAAGTCCTTTAAACTTTGTATCGTAGGATCCTGTCTAAAGTCCTTTAAACTTTGTATCGTAGGATCCTGTCTAAAGTCCTTTAAACTTTGTATCGTAGGATCCTGTCTAAAGTCCTTTAAACTTTGTATCGTAGGATCCTGTCTAAAGTCCTTTAAATTTTGTATCGTAGGATCCTGTCTAAATTCTTTAAACTTTGTATCGTAGGATCCTGTCTAAAGTCCTTTAAACTTTGTATTGTAGGATCCTGTCTAAAGTCCTTTAAACTTTGTATTGTAGGATCCTGTCTAAAGTCCTTTAAACTTAGTACTTTAGGATCCTGTCTAAAGTCATTTAAACTTAGTACTTTAGGATCCTGTCTAAAGTCATTTAAACTTAGTATCGCAGGATCCTGTCTAAATTCTTTAAACTTAGTATCGTAGGACTCTGTCTAAAGTCCTTTAAACTTAGTATCGTAGGATCCTGTCTAAAGTCCTTTAAACTTAGTATCGTAGGATCCTGTCTAAAGTCCTTTAAACTTAGTATCGTAGGATCCTGTCTAAAGTCCTTTAAACTTAGTACTGTAGGATCCTGTCTAAAGTCCTTTAAACTTAGTATCGTAGGATCCTGACTTTAGCATTCATAAAACTTAATAGTTCATAAACATAAAAATATCTAACACACAGACATTTTAAACATACAGTATGACAAACAATAATGTATTTGAATCTGTTTCCACCTAGTATATACTGTGCAACACGGCCTTAATCTTTGACCTGAAAACTAGCTTTCATGCTTGTTAGTAGTCCAGTCACATGCCTGATGACAATATTTTATATATCATCAAAACTAATGTATATGTAGTATTTACATTAGTCTGTCTTGTATACAAGTTACACTTTACTCCTCTCAGAAATTATGAGCAGCCATTTTAATAAGTCCAATTTACTTCCATAAAAATACTAAAGTTTGAAAAGCTAGATTATTTGAAAGGATGTGACTGATGTATTATAAAAGTTTAGAAATTTACAACCCACGAGTTCTATGGCATATAGAAAGAAATTAATCACTGTTTTCACATGATATAGCTTTGTTAGCTAGGAATTATGAAACAAAACTTACAGTTGGTTGAATTGTCCAGGTGTTAACACCACCAATAAAAATTCACCATTCTTAAACAACTTGAGTGAGATATAATTAACAAATATGTACAAAGACTAGAAATTATCAACTGGACATATTTTATCTATGCAGGCATGAGAGTCACCTAGTTCTCCTGAAATAAAAATTACAGGGGCAGGGTAAAACCAAAACTGGGATTAGCAATTTGTATCTTCTTCCTTATTACTTTATTCAAACCAAGTTTTAATAAAGTTAATGTCAAAAAATATTTTAATTACAGTTTCATTTTGTAGGTGGTTTCAGAGGAGGATCAGACAAGTTTCTTTAAAACGTGGTGTATTTTGTACCCGTGAAAAGCACGAGATACCAGGCTGGAATGGATTAAACACCAAATTTACATGAAACAGATTTAACTTTATTCAAATTCAACTGAGTTTCTTTACTTCTGAATGACCACTTACAGATTGCTCTGTTGGCGGATTTCCAATATACATTAACGTCACTTATCAACAACATTTGGTCCTTAAATCTGTTCTTGCATTCTAGCACACTCAAACTTGAGGAAAATCAATTCCTTCCATAAGGTAATCACCCCGTTATTAAAATAAATAATGTCATTAACTGGAACCTGAGGGTGTTTACCAGATCTTAAGACTTGTTTCTTCACGTTTTATTGTTTTTCAGAATAACACAGCATGAAAAAATAAGAATCCTTTATCCTATTATCCCCAGGAAAATATTGTAAACTTCAACAAGGTCACCTGTTACCTTTCTTTATTGATAGAAAATAAGAGATCTTAACCTATTCCTGTAAGATAAACCCTTCTATACCCATATTCATCCTAATAACTCTTCTCTGAACTATTTCCATTCAGTCAATATCAATTCTATTCTTAGAAGATGAAACCAAAACTGTACACTGTATTCCAAGTGAAGCCTACCTAGTAATTTGCATGTAAAACTGTATACTGTATTCCAAGTGAAGCCTACCTAGTGATTTGTACATAGAGATAGCTACTTCATTTGATGTATAATCAACATCTATAAACACACCCAAATATTTATAATGGCTCGATTAGTAGTTAGACACAATTCAAAGAGCAATAAAATTTATTTATAAATAAATATATACTGTTATGAACTTAAAGCTTAAAGAAAAAATGCATAATTTAGATTTATTTCAATTTTTTTTTGGTGGTTACAAGGTCGGTTATATTGACCAGTTGTATAGTTAGGGTACAGAAAAATAACAGATAAAATAAAAAGTTTTAGGGAAACAAACATTTGAAATGTATTTAGGAGGTTTTAAAGAATACATAAATCAAATCTGAGATTTTTGAGACAAAGAAAAGTATTTTTAACATTAACACAAATATCACTTTGCACACGGACTATTCAAAACAAATACTCGATATATTCATGGACAAATCTTTAGTAAAAATACTTCATAAAAAAACTGATTTTTGAAGTACAAGATACTTATAATATGTACTACAACTCTGCCAAATTTTGTGAAAATACACACACACTATATTAAAAGTAAAAATGGTCCTGTAGTTGGTACCTGAGAAAGACCTCATACTGAGAGAGTTAAGCAACTGATTTAAATTATAACTGTTATGCATTACCTTGCACTTATAACACTATACCTTTATCAATATAAAATAAACAAGTAAAGACAGAGACCCAAGTTATGATTACTAAGGAACTCTGCAAGTAGCAAGCATTCAGTTTGAGAAAACTGCACTAGCTACAACCTTTAGCTTTCTTCCATACATCCAATGAACATTCCAGTTAACTTCTCAGTTAGTCTTTTCCCAACCTCTGCTGATGTATTTTTATTAGCTGAATTTTTTTTATGTGGCACCCTATTAACAGCTTCTTGATAATCTAATTCCCTACATCCACACCCTTTGAATCATCTACATAACAAGTAACATACCCCCCCCCCAAAAAAAAACAACTTAAGACTAGTAAGATGAGGCTTCCCTTTACTGAATACATGTTGACTTCCACTACCATATTTCACTAAATTATTTCAAAAATCCTTTGTTAGACTCAAAACATTTTCCCATTAAATAATAACAAAAAAAAACAAAAAAAACTTGCCATTAACACCCTTTAAAAACCCAATTACCAATCTAACACTTTGGATACATTCAACATACTTAAAACAATCCTTGCTGGCAGCTTTAACACCATCAACCAGCCATTCCTCTAAGATCTTTCAGATTTCTTAATTTCATTTTAACTAAATCCTTACCTTTCTTATAGATCTTTTTAATTTATCTGTTAAACTTTCACCACTTATCTCTGCTCTCTTCCTTTATGTCTTTATTAAGTCAATTAGGTTTGACCTTCCGTGTCATTTTTTTTTTATCTTTTTACTATTGTACCTACCTTGAATTAAAAGCAGTTTATTTTTCAAAATTTCACAGATTTGTCCCATGACCTTAAAACTGACTTTACAAAAATTAGGAACTAAAATTTCATTTATTTGTATTCCAACACAGCAAAACATCAAATTAACTATGCAATAATCACTCTTTCCTATACGTACATCTCCCTCCATTTCTCCCTCTTGCAACTGTATTCTCAATAGTAATTAACCCTTTCCAGACAGGTCACAGGCCATGTCATCATGTTTGTTGACTCGCATTCAAAATTTTATTGAACTACTATATCATGAATAAGTTTGGTATCAAACTGTAGATTATAATTCAAATTTTAGTATTATTAGTAAATATTTAACATCACATTTTGGGTGTCACATGGTATGTTGAATGCGATACTGGTTCAAATTAGATATCTGTGATGTCAAAATACTAAGTCTATAGTTTTGTATGAATTAGGAACTCAAATTACCTATATCGGCAAGCTAGAATATAAAATAAGAACCTCGTATCTTTTCTATTTGCAGAAATATCGCTCATTTACTGAATCAAAGACAGTGGACCCGTTCACCTCTTTCCATTTTTGGAAATGGTCCCTTATATACACTTACTTCAGTGTATGACATGTGAATAACCAACTGAAAGTTCAGAATGTCCCCCTAGTGGTTTTCTACGCCTTTCTAACATACCTAGCATCATTTCTTTCTTTTGAACCTAGATTTCAAGGATGTAGGTTGTGTCTTTAGTCTGCTCGAAATTTCATACATTTTTTAGACTGAAATACAGATTAGTTACTAAGCTTGATAAATTATAGTGGAATTCTATGGTATCAA